GTTGGGGTTACGATGGGGTTAGCGTTAAAGTGAGGGTTAAGGCTGAGATCGGGGTTAGGATCCGGAAATATCTCTTCTTCCTGAAGTTTTGCGCCGGCAGTCATTAGTCAGAAAAGAGTGTTTTTATCTGCTTGAGTGAAAAGTCAACCATATTTTTGTATGCATAATAAATTATCCTCCATACAGTGCGTATTGCAAAAGATAATTGGTTAGTAGATTGTTTGGCCTCCCCAAAAACAGCGTTCAATTTGCTCACACTAACACTGGAAGATCCATTTGTTCTAGTTTCAGCCCACATCTGACAGTGGAACAAAAGAAAACCTTTAAAAGGTGAATATTTATGCGCAACAAAGTTCGACGTCAAATATCAGTTCAGAAGATTTGTCTAAATTCTGCGATTTGAAGTGCTGAGAAAAAATACCTGATCAACAGGGTGGTCGGGAGCTAGTGGGGGTAATTTCCGATATACTATTTCATTGCATCACCAAGTGCAACAGATGCAAAGATACGCATTGATGCATACGAGACTTACATGACAAATTTAAAGTTTGAACGAAACAAATCTGTCGTTGTTGTATGTTTTTATTGAAATCTGACTTCTGCTCAAAAAGGGCCTTGATGATATTGTCAAGTGTTAAAATTGGAGTTGCTTTTCTTGTCTTTCTTGATGGGAAGACGCTGAAAGCAATATTTTATAAGCCAGCGACTGTATGGTAGCCATCTCCTTGATCGCCACCGCTTTGTCACACTGTCCTTCTGACCGACTAACGCTTCCTGTTGATTCGCTGATGGGACCGCGCGAGAATTATCATTAGCTTCCCGAGAACTCGGGGCCAATCAAAATTGCTCTCCACAGGCGGGAACCACTGAGACAGAGCGAAAGGCGCACATGGACGCTTGGGGGCTAATAACCTCAACGGCGAACACAGAATACACAACAAACCTGACGAGGGTGCTTGATGAGCTCCCTGCTGTTGCGTTGGCTCAGAATAGCCTGTCTTCCTTTGCTTGTGATTTGGGAATCCTCTTATTACCGACCATTGGCGACTAAAACGTCAGTTTCTTGTTTCGACAAGTTCGCCAGTCTTCTTTTTGTGGCTTTATAAGCAGTAGTTCGAATTCTTTCCTAAACTCTCTCACCATCAGGTGAGTAATCACATTGGGATTTTGCCTGTCGATAAGGAAACACGGTTTTCGAATTGAAATAACCAAAGAAACTGAGCAGGAATCAGAAAAGGATTAAAGTCTGATGAGTGCATATATCATGTATGGGAGAAAATTAGAAAGATTCACCCGTCCGTAAGATTGCGGACTTCTTAAGACTAGTCCGCTGACCTTTGTACCCGGTCAAGGAACTGTGAGAGGAGCAAGTCTTTCAAGTCATCACTGCGTCACCTATTAACACCACCGATCGAGTCCTTCTCCTCGAATTTCGTCCCTCATTGTGATAATACACAATTCTAGGATAAACACACCATTTGGACGCTAAGAAAACAGTAGCGACATATCGTCTGCAGGCAAGCAGTCCTACCAGACAATTCTGGGTCTTAAAGTGCAATCGAGGGATCTCACGAAGGTGAAAGTACAGGAGTCTAAGTTTCGAACTGGAAAAGCCTCCTTTTCATTGGTATGGTCGAGGGATCCAGTGACCCTGCACACTTCAAGGCACCTGGTCAAAAGAAGACCGGCAAATCTGGTCTGCCTTTTTTATGTCAGTAGTGCATCAGAGGCTTATGCGCACATTTTGCGGAGCTGGCGATCGCAATTGTAGATCGCCCGTGGATACAATGCGAAAATGTGTTTAAGAAATAAAAACAGCTAAAATTGGATCAGTAGTGTACTTTAATTCATCTTATCCTACGCCCCGACTGTTCTTCTAACCATGCAGAAAATCGAGATGGAGGCAAGAATCGTGCACGTGTGAGATAAGGCGGTCGTGCGACGCAGTCACCTATCCCCTCAACGCGGCCGCGACAATGGGCAGTTGTGTAGAATACAAGATAGATCGCAAACTAATCAAAACCTAGAATTCTGATGAGAACTTAATAAACAGACATAGACTTCCTACCGGCTAGAAGAGCCTTGCACAAGCCGATTAAACTGATGGGATAACTCGGTCCTCCTCTTTCTACTGGGAGTAAAGCTGCTATGACTCCTTCATAGTGTAGCCTTTATGGCACTCTCGCTCAGTTGAGACTCGAGCCCCCCGCCCCTCTTGTAGTCTGAGATATTGGTTCTTTGTGCGCGGACCAGGGGCGTGGCTGCACGCCAAGGCGCACGTTCACGTCGCGCCATACATCTGTGCTCGATCCCGCCACTGGTCCTCCTGATTCTGTTCGGATCCCGGGTCTGGGTGGGAGAGGAGGAGAGGGTGCGGCAGATGAGATAGAAGTCTACTGTCACTGTACACTTTTTCACACTCAACTACAGTCCCTGCTCCCACCACACGGTGGATATCGTCGAACTCGATGGTCGGACCGTAAAGCAGATCCAGACTTGCAATAACTGGACAGTTGTTGAACCAACCGCCTCACAAAGATTGTATTCTTTGCTACTGTTCTCCTGCCTCCGAAGCTGGACAGCTGTAGGGGTTCGGGAGCTCGGATAAGTTAACTTATGATAGCGACTTTCGACCAGCCTTCTGTTTTGCATAATACGACACCAGATACTCAAATATTAGCCCTTATTTAGGATCATTCCTACGCGCGCTTGAACACCGTGTTTATAGGAAGAGATGTGATGATGAGCTTGGTTTGCGATTGTCGAGTCAGATTTTGTCTTGGCATCATGCCTTTTCGTTCTGTCTATCCAACAACTTTCGAATTCCTAACATTTATCACTTGGCTCCGTCAAGACGATGTGGGATATGCGCCCGTATCTCACTTTAAGCAATGCGAGCGCCCTTAATGGGGTACGTTACACGATGCGAGTTCTTAACCAGTGAAGTCTGTCCTATTGCAGTTGAAAAGCAAAAGAGATAATTCCTATTGATTTAACTGTGAAAAATTCGGCGCCTCTGTGTTATTCGAACCCACGCGATAAGGGGAAGGCGTTAGTACAGCCAACGTTCTAACCACTTGAGCTACGAGGCCCCACCGGAAAACGCGAGTTTAATCACGTTTTGGTCAAGATTTTTGAATTATTCAAAAATCTGCCAAGACATCTATTGAATTACGTGAACCTGGTAGCCATCTGGTGGATTCTAGGTGAATTACTTAGGGAATCCTGCTTGGACAGTCAACTTACTGTATCAGATTTGGTGAATTGC